GACATAGCCATTATGCTAACTGCTGGTCCCACACTGTGTGTTTTTATTACTCTCATTATTAGTCTCTTTAAGTCCATTACTGCTCATATATTTTTATATAATCCCTGGTCCGGTATGGAAGTCAGATTATATATAGACCAATATTGAAAGAATTCATTCAGGATCAAAGAAAATCTCTGGTGCTATTCATGTCATTGGTTTATTAACCTTCTTTCTAGCCAACTGGTTTTTATTTCACATTTTTTCCTTTGCGAAAATTGTACTTTCTCGTGTGTTCATTGGGAAACTCTACTTTTATCTGAGATTATTAACTAATTTAAGCCCTGATGTATATACTGTTGATTGACTTTTTATGAAAACCCCTGCACTGTGTTCTATGGTGTCTCTTTGGAGGTCAGGGCATGGACTTCCCATTGTCTCAGAGATCATTTGAGGGCTCTGATAAGCCCTCTGCCTCTGATAGGAGACCTGAATTTGAGAAGAGTTAGATAGAAAAAATAAAGTGTTTGTAATCCGTGTGCCCAAAACATGCAAGTCAGACTAAACCCCCGTCCTTCTCTGGCTTTAGCAGACACGGGAGCCTGTGCAGTGTGCATGAAGAACAGCAGCTCGATGCCTCCTGAGGACCAGGACAAAGGAAAGGTCAAGGCTGACTTCATATTCCTTGTAAGGATTTCTGGAAAATTTGTCTTTTTCTGTGACCTCTAGCATACCCTCATTGATGGTGTGTCCTCTGATATTTTAGCATGTCTTTATTTGTCAAAGTGCAAAATAATCTTCTATGCAAGTCTTTAGACTTCTAATAATTCGAAGCTGTTGTCAATGGTGGAGCCTGAAAAAGCTTGTTTACAAGCTGAGGACTGCAGATTAACCTCTACACTCCCAGCGAGGAGCATCTGCTTTGTCAGCCAGTGAAGCAGTGGGCCAAGAGGGACTACAGGCTGAGCTGGTGTGGACTCCTGCTCTGCCTCCTGCCAGCTCTGTGACTCTGAGCGAATTCTCTAGTTCCCCTGAGGTCTCTGTTCTCTTCCATTTAGAGCCAATATTCTGTTAGGTGTGTTTAGGTCTGATGTAGCTTGTAGAGTTCTGAGAATCAGAGACAGGACATAGAAGGCCTGGGGAAAGCTCTCCTATTGGTGACTTTTACTATATGTGACGTGAGTGGGTTTCCTTTTTTTTTCATTCCCTCTGTTCCTAGTCTGAGTCAGACAAGATTCTGCACAGTAGTGAAGGAGACATGGGGCTGGCATATACATAGATGGCCCTCTGTCTGCTCTATACCTCAATGTCTCACATTAGCATACTTCCTCTTAAATCATTAAACATGTCATTAGGATTTTTTTTTAACTTCAGGTTTTTTATTTTTTTAAGTTACATAATGCAAAATTAACAACCCCTCTTTTTGTGTGTTCACTAACTCACAAAATATATATAGCAGTATAATGTAAATCTATTTCAAGATATAATATGTTATGTTACCCCAGAAAGTGACCTCATCCTCTTCCCAGTCGAACCCTGCTCTCATCTTAAGTAAAAATTTGTCTATTCTAGAATTTAATGAAAAATAGATGCATGCATGCCATGTATTTTTTGATGTCTCCCTTATTCTGCTCAGCACAATGTTTCTGACATTATTCATGTTGTTACATGAATCAGTATTTTGTGGGGACATGTTTAAGAGAGAGAATCTGAGGTGTGGGGACATGCTCTGAGCAAACAGCACCTGCTCTTTTGGGGTTTGGCAGAACCTTGTATCTTGTCTTTTTCCCTGACCTTGGCTGCAGACAGAGCAAGGATGGAAATTACTAGGGGCATTCCAACAGACACATCTGATGGACTTTAAGAAACATCTTGACCCCAATTAGTAAAATCCAATCCCTGCTCTGCATCTGAAAGGTTCTTTAGCTTTCTCTGGGTGTAGTGGAACACTCCTTATAGAGAAGTTTTAGCTCCTTCCCCACACCTATCAGGTAGTTTCTTCATTATAAAAGAAGATGAGAGCCCTTCTTCAAGAGACAGACAGCTC